TCAAATAATTTATGTGCATTTATCTTTCAAACGGTTTCAGTTTTTCTATTTCACAATTTCGTTCAAAATATGAACGATCATCCATTTGATTGTCTTAAAGATATTATACAAGGCTGAACACAAGCCTTATACATTACAGCAAAGTTGTAAAACCTATTATGAACTTGTCCCTGTTCGTCTTATCAATTAGTAAGGCAGGCATGATCCGTCATTATTGCAGAAAGTTACTCTTCATCAATGAATTCAGAAAAATTGAAAATTATGGAAGGATTAGAGGATTTTCCTATTGAATGTTTTTTTTTCTACTTAATACTGCTTCACAAACGCGTGGTCATTAGTTAAACATTTGTAAGCAGCGCTTCAATAATAATATTCAGGAAGTATGCTTAAATTCGTTAGGTAAATGATCGGAATGCATTGCCAGATAATGTTGTAAGGGTAGACTCTGTAAAGCAATTCAAATCCACTCTTGCAAGAGCACACATCAACCTTGTATATCAACTTTGTATTTAACCCGACCGAGCTACTTTTGAGGATGGGTGGATAAGCTGGCATCTTGATTTATATTATATGCAAATATGTGTTTTTAGCCGTACCTATTATGTAATGGAGTGTATCTGGTGGTATTTGTATCTGTTTAACCATGAAGCCTCTGTGGTCTAATGGTTATGACGCTCGCCTTGACAGCGAGATGTCGCAGGTTCGATTCCCGCCAGAGCAAGAGCACACATCAACCTTGTATATCAACTTTGTATTTAACCCGACCGAGCTACTTTTGAGGATGGGTGTATAAGCTGGCATCTTGATTTATATTATATGCAAATATGTGTTTTTAGCCGTACCTATTATGTAATGGAGTGTATCTGGTGGTATTTGTATCTGTTTAACCATGAAGCCTCTGTGGTCTAATGGTTATGACGCTCGCCTTGACAGCGAGAGGTCGCAGGTTCGATTCCCGCCAGAGGCATTTTATTACACAATTGCTTTATTCATTTATTTACAGGACTACATTCGTTGGGAGCTATGCTACACATGTATTATTATGTCCTTTATTCGAACACTGTATTTACCTTTCTTTGATGGTTTTTATGAATTAACAGTGTTAACGGCTATCTTGATTTATATAATAAATCAATAATGTAATAATCCCGTTCGAATATTACAAATCCACATATCGTTCGTTTTTGCATTATAGCCCATCTCCATGTTGAGTTGGGTTTCCCCCTCCATTTTTTTTCTTCTTTCATGTACCTACTCTTGTATCATTCTTTGTTGAGCATGTATTTAATCCTCCATCCTTTAAAAACCTTATTTGTTGAGCATGTATTTAATCCTCCATCCTTTAAAAACCTTATTACATTTTATGTGTTGAGACACATTCTTTTACAGATATCTAAATCACTTTATATATATATATATACTGTCTCTTATACACATCTAGATGTGTATAAGAGACAGCAATTACATTTTGCTAAAATATGAAGTTTTAAAAAAGTTGTTAAAAAGTGTCACCACGGAGCCACACTCCTCTTATACGTAGTATGGTAGTACATTACTCCCTTATAATTTTATTAATGCTTTTGTTACCGCCGAGGTGCACACACATGAGTGTCTAATTTAACAATCTGAGGTGCTATTTTAAAAATCATAGTACCAATAATAGGCCTAAGCTGTATTTTTTACTACAGATGCTTGCTGATCTCATCTATGAAAAATAGTTTTCTCAACTTAGAACTGTAAATCTGCGAGGTAAGAGCACTGGATTTTGTCTCATATATAAAGGAATTGCCGGGTTTGCGTTCGGCAATAAACAACTTTCGAGGGATTACCGGTTTTAAAAAATCAAAGTATATTTGTTGCGTTTGTCTTTCTTATAAGAGAACCAAAAAGCATAGGTTCGACGAGTTATTTCATTTTTGGAGCATTTTGTAAAAGCAGTAGGCATGTATCTTTGTTAATTGAACTTTGTCATTCCGATGTTTATATTTCTTTATCTTTATTCATATTTTTTCAGTAGGCTCTTTAGTTAAAGATCCAATTTTGTTATTCCTACAATAAAATGCATCAACAAATGTTCAGTTACAGCTCAGTTTTCATTTACTTACGTTGTAATGCATCCCAGTTGATATGGGTTGGATTGGAGGAAGTGATGATTACACATTAATCACTTCCTCCAAACTACCCCCGGTCATTCCCAAATTTGGGAACAACTAGGGGTAGTTTGAGGAAGTGGGTAATTAGTTACGCAGTACTCACTTCCTTCAAACAATACCCCCAAAACATTTGAGCGCGGGCCAAACCATCAAGAAGGCTCTAGATTTTAAGTCCCTTGAACATTCGTTAATATAGTAAACATTAGCGATATTAAACTAATGTATAAATCTTCTCAAGTCTCAATCTTGTATAAACATTTTTAATAACAATTACTATACAGTAGGCATATGGAATTTCCCATAACTAAGGTGCATTTACCTCAATTATACAGAAACGAGAGCACATTTTTTCCTATATACACGCTTATATATTAACTTATACACATAATCATACAAAGAGGCTGAACTCCTCATACCGTAATGTTTATTTCGCATTAATGATGCACATAGAATATGTATGGAAAGCTAAATTGTCGTTGCTAAAGAGAATTTTGTTAGGCCTAACGGCCGGTTATGGTCGGAATTGTTTGAATTTATAAGCAAATTACACATATTTTATGACTCTTTTAAAACGTAACATAACGGTATTACCAATTACGTCTGCTAAATTTCTCGTACTGGTGTTGATTTGTAGTTGATATTCAGCAGTGTGTAATGCGGATATTAATCACCATTTACGTCTTCCGTCCTAAACATAACAATATCTTCGATCTGAATCTATTTAGCTGTTTTTTGAACAGATGGTTTGGTAATCATGGATGTAATATTAACTAATTGATGCTTTACGTTATTATCATTATTGCTTTAAATGTTAAGGAGGAGCGCGATGTCACTGACGAAAACCCCAGAAAAAATATCACAATTTAGGGGTTTCAAAGGCTTATATAATCGATTTTGGAGTCTGTCTACTAATATGTAGAAAATACATATACATTTGTTTTTCTTCCCGACGAATTGTGGTTTTCTCTCCTACGGGGGGGGGGGGGGGGGGGGCTGGCCCCCCCCCCCCCTGGCCCCTCAGCTGGCGCCACCCCTGTATAGATTCTCTTTAAAGCCAGGGGTTGTAATCAGTGGAGGATCCAGGATTGTTTTGACAGGGAGTGGGGCATGACCAATGGTCCGTTGGAGTGGGCGGAAGAGGAAGGGTATGCAATGTTCCCTTACCTATTAAGAAGGTCCAAGGGAGAGTTTTAGCCATTTTAATCTCTTGTGATTTCACTTGTATAGTGTATTTGGATGCTGCTAGGAGAAGGGGAGGGTGGGCGAGGTCATTTCATCATTTGCTGCTTGTAAGATGTAACCAATGTCAACGACGTATTGCACACTGATGGTATACCGGTATATATTTGGGTTTAATAAGCAATTAGTAGAGCTCCGCATAGTACACTATAGGAAAATTATTGTACGAAGGTTAGATTTAATGCTTGAAAAAAATTTCTGAGGGCCTGGAAGGCCCGAAGGAAATTTTTGAATGCATTAAATCTAACCTAAGTATAATAATTTTCCGTTTAGTGTACGATGCATGCTCTACTAATTGCTTTATAAGTCAATCGCCGTCTTTTAATTTTAGTTTTTTATAACCAACTGTTGTAGCAGCCATCGGTCGCATAGTGATGATATGATCAGTATACGTGTGCGTATTTACATTTAGCTGTGCGTATGCTGATTTTTTGCTCCTGCAGTACGCGTTTAATCACACATCAGCAGTACAGTACGGATAAGATGAATAACTATTGTGTTATAAAGAAAAATAAATAAACATTTCAGCATTCGAGAGGGAATACAGTCACTGACGTCCTGTTTGGTCGGTGCATGCAAACAGGTAAAATCGTGCGATGATTTCATAAGGCCAGGCTACGGCCTATGCCTATAGTAATAGTATAGGAGGAAGCCCGGGCGGCCTGCCTGGTCGAAGGCCTACATCTAAATTTGTTCCTTGAGTCTTTAAAATAGGTCTAGAATATTTCTATTAAACGTTCAGTTTGTTGTGTTTATGAGGGTCCATTGATTCAATGAATTCCTTAATTGTTCATACTTAATATTGAATTTGAAGTAACTTTCTTCGGGTTCTAATTAAGCTTGTTTCACGAAAGTAATTTTCAATTACAATTCAATTTTTATCGCGGTGCGCGATGTATTCGCGGTTGTGACGAAAAATCGAGGGATTTTTTTTGCACACGAACCTTAAAAAATCAAGCCGAGCGTCCAATAATATAAAAATTATTGGACGCTGCGGAATAGGCAAATAACATTGGGAGTTACAGTGATGACTTCACGATTGACTTTTAATGTGAATTATACTAACAAGAGGCTATTAATGTAGAAATGGCAGCAATAAAATAAGTGACTAATCAGGGAAATGATATTTAGCTTTTTCCGGCTGTTAGTGTGAAACGATCACAGTGTTTATCTGTCCTTATATCTACCCATAATTGTATAAATGTACAGGCAAAATAGATTCTCTGTGTCGGAGAAGAGAGATTGGCAATAACACATACTCATAGACATATCATACGTTTACATACCCTATAAATCATGCGGTATTGTTATGATTATATATACATTTTGAACGTTAAATAAGAGGAATCTGCAAGTGTGAAAAAAAAAATGCGTCAACCGGAATGTTGCTGTCTGTGTAGACGCCTTAGATACGGTATATAATATACAAATAAATAGGCTTAATAATAATAATATATAAATAAGGCTAGTGTATCAGAGTAGATATGTATTAGGCCCTATATAAATATAGTTATATATTATGCTCATATAGGCCTACAGATCAGAATGAAATGTATTGGTTTTGAGATATAAGCCTTAATTACATAAGTGTTCCCCTTCTCATCTCAC